TAGGTAGATGAGCAAATTCTTATGAGGTATTTACACTTGAGAACTTTGTCTCAGTGATTTTCAATTGCAGCTACACCGTCCCCACTTGAAGTAGGATTTATTCCTTCTGCTCGGTGTATGATGTTAATGGCTCTAAGAAGTTTGGAGCAGGATTTATGAAACCAGCTCCAGGTTGGTCCTCCCAGTTGGAACTCGGTGGGCATCCCCATCCAATACTGTACTTGTAGGTATGTTTCTACAGACGTATATGCAAATACATATGTATAAGCAAAAACATACGATATAGTTCTGTAATTAAATATCAGCCTCATCACCCACTTATGTAGGGAGATTAGAATTGTATGCATAGATATATAAGGCAGACACTATTCCACAACTTTCTGAACCATGAAATAAAGCCATGAGCCTGTGCTATTTACTTCAAATAACATTTATCACTGTTGGGGGTAGTGGGAATGTTAAATTCATCTCTTTTAGTGATATTGGAATATTTTTGTTCACAGGGGTAGAAATAGGAGCATAGGAAAAGAAAATGAGTCTGGGAGAGCCAAAGACTGGGATTAGATTACTGTTCCATCAGCTTATAGCTATGATGTTAGGCAAATGATTTAATCTCTCTGAGACTATATAGTTCCTTATTTGTAAAATTGGTACAATAGTACTTTTTTCACTAGTCCGATGTGAGCATAAACAAGATAAATTTTTGTGAAGCTCGTACCTGAATGTTTGACAGGTACAGACACTCAAAAATTGTTAGCTCTCTTTACATTATTAAAATAGTCCAGTGGCTGAGTCGGTTAGGCGTCTGCCTTCGGCTCAGGTCATGTTCTCAAGGTCCCGGGATCCAGCCCTGCCTTGGGCTCTCTGCTCAGTGAGGAGCCTGCTTCTCCCTCTCCCTACCTCCTCTGTTCTCTCTTGCTCTCTCAAATAAATAAATAAAATCTTTAAAAAAAAATAGCCCAGAACAATTTTCCCCGCAGGTAATATGCACATTTGTATGGACTCATGCTCACCCATACTATGGTAATAAACTTGCATATTCGCTTCAGTTGTCTCCTCTAAAACTACTTATGGCTTTTATGGAACAAATGAAGTATATCATTCAAGAAGTGTGTGTACAACTAGATCAATCATAGTTATCAAAAAAGATAAAGTCGGTAAAATAGAAAACCACAGTCCATATAAAATCCCACAGTCCTTTTAAATCACATGGACATTTGCCACTTTTAGGTTTGGAAGGGGATATTTTAATTATGTACATGTTTGTGTATATGTACCTGTGTATAAAATTCAACAAAACATTTTTCATATTATTATATATAGTCATTATTTTGATTTACCCACATCTATCACTTTCGTTATTATTTGTTCCTCCCTGCATCTACAAACTTCCATCTGGAATGATTTTTTTTCTCTACATAAAGAATACTCTGTAGTCTTTTCTTTAGTGCAGATCCCCTGGTGGTGAATTCTCTTAATTACTGTTTGTCTGAAAAATGTCTTTATTTTGCCTTCGTTCCTGGAGGCTCCTTTTGCTCAATATAGAATTCTTGGTTGGCAGTTCTTTTTCTTTAGTGTTTTAAAGATATTCCACTGCCTTCTTAGACAAAACACTTCCATTTTTTAAACCAGTAAATTTTTACTTAAGAATTTCACCTGGGATTCCTTTGATTGCCAATCACCTTAGCTCCTCCAACGTCAGAATCACAATCTCCAAAATAGCCCCACTAAAAAGAACCTTTGCTCAGTCCACAGTTGTCGCTGCCCGTGAGTCTATAGTTCTTTTGGTTAGGCTTCTCTTATCTCCACTTGAATATGGACAGACTTCAGAACTTCCCCACGTATAATCTTTGCACTTGCTTTTGGTTTTGTTTAGCTCACAAAGACTTAGACAAAGAGGAACTCATTGTTTAGTGTGAGTTTTGATACAGGTGAGAAGGAACGTGATACCTAGAATAGTTCCATTCTTTGCATTGAGACGTTAACTATGAATTTAATCGTTGCCTGTTTTGAGGTAATGTATATTTTGTGCTGGAGACTTTGAGGATTTTCTTTTCCTGTCGTTGGTGTACAATAGTTAAACTGTGCCCTGCTGAGGTGAGAATTTCTTTTTATTTTTCCTGCCTGGGGTTAGGCCTTCTTGAATCTGCAGATGATTGTCTCATACCAATTTTGGGAAATTCTGAGCTATTATCTCCTCAAAAATGTTCCTTCTGCCCTATGATCTCCCTCTTTTCCTGGTAGGATTAAACTTATGAGTCTGTTAGATCCTCTCTATGTGTCTTCTGTGTCTCACCTCTCCTCTGTGTTAACTATCTTTTTATCTCTGGGACTCATTCTATATAGTTTCTTCCAAAGCACTAATTAAGGAATCCAGTTCCTGGGCTGCCTGGGTCGCTCAGTGGTTTAGCGCTGCCTTCAGCCCAGGGTGTGATCCTGGAGACCCAGGATCGATTCCCACTTCAGGCTCCCTGTGTAGAGCCTGCTTCTCCCTCTGCCTGTGTGTCTGCCTCTGTGTGTGTGTGTGTGTGTGTGTGTGTGTGTCATGAATAAATAAATAAAATCTTTAAAAAAAAGAAAAGGAATCCAGTTCCCAAGTTCTCTCATCAACCTCATTTATTCGGTTGGAAAACCCATTGCCTTCTCCTGATTTTAGTGAATGTATGTTTCTTTATTCTAGAATTTTCATGGATTTTTTTGAAAATATATTCTAGTTCTCTACCAAAATCCTCAAGCTTGTCTTTAATCTCCTTAAATATTGTAAACATAGGTCATTTTAAAGTCTGTTTCGGATGACTCTGCCTCAGAAGTCCCTGTGGGTCTGTTTCTGTTATCTATTGTTTCCACTCTTTGTTTGTGTTCATGTCCTCTGGTCTGTTCGTGGACCTCATTCCTCTTTTTTGAGTGTGTTTTATTTGAAAAACTGTGGAAATAAAGACCTTAACCCAATTTTAGGGCCTTAGATGATTAAAGTCTGAGCTTCAGACCCTGAAAGGACCTGTGTACTTCTGGTTCATCTTACTCCTAGAGTATAGCCCTTAGCACTTTGGGGTCACAGCCCAAAAGAGTAGAGCTCACCAGAAAGCATCCTCCCTTAATACACCTAAAGGGTGCCCTGAATTTCATTCCCTACTCTCCTCCTCTCCCCACCTCGCAACCTTCCCCCACCCCTTCTTGAGATTACCAGAGGTCTACTTGGTTTTGAAACTGCTCAAGGTCGCAATGTGCAAATGCTTTCAGGGGAAAATAATCCCAAACACCAGGTTTAAATCTCTCAGCTATCACCCTTCCCTGAGCCTTACGTGGTTGGTTTTTCATTATCTTCTTTTCCGTCTAATGCAATCAGAAATAAGTTTTTACATTTCACCCTTAGTTTTTGTTTGGTTGGGTTTTGTTCAGAGTATTTAGTTGTCCTCAGTAAGAAGATTGTTCCAGATTACATAGTCTACTACCTCTATAAAAGCTATTGAAAGTTGACTCTTTCAAATTACTTCATTGTTTTTTTTTCTTTTTTATATAGCATAAAGTTGAAGAAAATAAATTTCTATGAAAATTAAACTGTTAGAACCTCAAGTGTATTTCAACCTAATTTAATGACAACAGTAGGACTTTCACTGGACACTATCTCCTTGCCTATGCTCACCTATTCCCACTTCCAAGAGTGTCTTCCCATTGCAACCGCACCTGTACTCCACCCCTGTTATGTTTGAAAACTCAGCACAGTGTATCCTCATCCAAGAAAACTTCCTTAATCACCTCTTCTTCAAACTGGTCTGTGCCTTTCCTCTGCCCTCCAACAACCTGATACTGGTATTAAAGTATTATAACCCCACTCACCGTGTTGATTGGCAATTATGTTCATGTGTCTCTTTTGGCCACCTGATTGTGAACTACTTTGAGACCGGGACTAGGGCTGGCTTTTTCAGTTTATTTCCTTAGCACAATGCACAGGTTGCACAGGATGATAGAGAAGAGAGCAACCTATTGAGAGGATATTGAGCTTCCCCCACTTTTGGTATTTATCTTCAAACAAATGCACAGGCTGATTTGAGTACCTGGTGCTTGACCTTGGATGGGCCAACTACTTGAGCTCTCTGTGTCCTAAATTTTATCATCTCCCCAACATTGTCCACCCCTCAAACCTCTCCAAATGCTGCCCAGCCCTCAGCTCCGGTAAACAGGGAAGCCCTCTCTGTTTACTCCAGCCTTCACTGTGTCTGCTCCCTTCGATTCTTGAGTACACACTCATTTATCCAATAAATATTTATTAAGCTTCCACCATATGCCAGGTGCCCTTTTAGGGGCCAGGGATATAGTGATAAATAGGTAAGGGCTGCCTTCTGGAGCTTGTATACAGTCTCACTCTGATCCCTAATTACACAAGAATAGCATTTGTCCAGCGAGCTGATAAAAGTGCAAGACTTTTATCTTATGCTCTTGCTTGAGTCCCCTGCAGAGCCTAGCTTAGTGCTAAACACCAAGTACCTGTTCTGGCGTCCTTGGGGACCGATCCATTTGTTTTTAATTTTATTTATTTATTCATCAGAGACACAGACAGAGGGGCACAGATATAGGCAGAGGGAGAAGCAAGCTCCCTGCTGGGAGCCTGCTGTAGGACTTGATCCCAGGACCCCAGGGATCACGACCTGAGCCAGAGAGGCTGATGCTCAACCCCTGAGCCATCCAGGTGGCCCTGGATCCATTTGTCTTAAAGGAGGCCGGCTAGAGAGCCCATAGTTAGTGAAATGATATTCTAGCTGAATGAACGCTAAGTGGCCTTTTACTGGATTCCCCCCAACACCCATATACGGTTAAGTACTGGTGCAACCAAAAATTAAGAGCCTCCTTTGTGTGTGTTGGTGGATGAGGTTTGTGGAAGGAAGTCTTATTTTTTTTTTCCTCCTCATTTGGCTTATGCTCAGGCGGCAGGCAGTGTAAGACATAAAACAAGAATAAAGCATCCTCCTCATCCTCCTTCCTCTCTGTCTCTGTTTCCACAGGTCAGCGTGGAGGTTTTGGTAGAGTACCCTTTTTTTGTGTTTGGACAGGGCTGGTCATCTTGCTGTCCAGAGAGAACCAGCCAGCTCTTCGACCTGCCGTGCTCCAAGCTCTCCGTTGGGGACGTCTGCATCTCGCTGACCCTCAAGAATCTGAGGAACGGCTCTGTTAAGAAGGGCCCGCCCGTGGATCCCGCCAGCGTCCTGCTGAAGCACTCAAAGAGCGACGGCCTGGCAGGCAGCAGACACAGGTACGCCGAGCAGGAGAACGGCATCAACCAGGGAAGTGCCCAGATGCTGGCCGAGAATGGCGAACTCAAGTTTCCAGAAAAAATAGGATTGCCTGCAGCGCCCTTGCTCACCAAAATAGAACCCAGCAAGCCGGCAGCAACGAGGAAGAGGAGGTGGTCGGCCCCGGAGACCCGCAAACTGGAGAAGTCGGAAGACGAGCCACCTTTGACTCTTCCTAAGCCTTCTCTAATCCCTCAGGAGGTTAAGATCTGCATCGAAGGCCGGTCTAACGTAGGCAAGTAGAGGCAGCGCGGGGAAAGGAAACTCGGCTCCCCCTTCTCATTTGTATCCAGATTACTGTACTGTAGGCTAAATAACACAGTATTTACATGTTACCCTCCTTAGGTTTCTGTTATAACCTTGTCATTAGAGTTACAGCCGGTGTCGCGCAGGAGACTGGTGCACGCGCTTTCCCACGAGGGCCTGGCCCGGCCGTGAGCGCGGCAGGTGCAGGTGGAGGGGGCGGGGCCGGGCCGGGCAGCCCAGAAAGCCCCCGCCGCTCGCCCCGAGGATGCTCGGAGGGTGGGGGAGCTGCAAGGGGGTGGGGGGGCGCGTGGGCTCCCGCGTGGGCACGTGCACGCGTGGAGGGGGGCACAGGTGCACGGGCGCCGAGGCTCTCCGTCCTTCCCTCGGCCTCCCCCTGCCCCCCTGCCTCTTGCCCTCCGCCCGGGACTCGAGGCCCCAGGGGGAGCATCCTCGTGAGGTCCTCCTCCCGTGCAAAGCCGACATCAGGAACCCCGCTCGCCGCAGGGCACGCTAGAGAGGCATCAGACAGCCCGTGGAAAGCTCCCCGTGTAAAAGAACCTTCTTTTTTTTTTCCCTTCCTCCAACATATTTTACAATAAAAGCAACTTTTAATCCTATAGATATATATTTCCCCCTATGGGGCCTGACTGCACTGATATTTTTTTAGAGCAACTGCCACACGTGGGATTTCGTTTCTGCTTTACTTAGTGCAGTGATGTCTCCAGGGTGTCAGGGTGGGCAAGGGGGGAGGGGGGTGGGCGGCGGCGGCAGGGGTAGCAGAGAGTGGACACCCACTCGGGATTCCGTGCAGTGTTAGGAAAACCAATCAGGGGATCACGTTGACTTCGCTCCCAAGAGGTAGACGCAAACTGCCCTTCTGAGAGCCGCCGAAGCTCTTCGCATTGGGTTTGCAAATTTTGTCTTTTAACTCTAGTACTGTTTATAGTTCATGACTATGGACAACTCGGGTGCCACTTTTTTCAGATTCCAGTGTGACGTGAGGAATTAGATTTTGAAGATAAGCATATATATTACTATCTCTAAGCACTTAAAATGCTGTTCACACTTTATTACCAAGCATCTTGGTCTATCATTCAACAAGTACTGTATCTCCCTTTAAACTCTTTGGGAAGAAAAAACAAAACAAAACAAAAACAAAAACAAAAAAAAAAAAAAACTAAGTTGCTTTCTTTTTTTTTTTCAACACTGTAACTACATTTCAGCTCTGCAGAGTTTCTCACGAGCAAGATATTGGAAGTTTCAATGTGGTTTAAAGGGATGAATGTGAATTATGAACTAGTATGTGACAATGAATGACCACCAAGTACAGCCTCCCAGAAGGCACTTTTCACTTTGATGTTTGAGAAAGAATTAAAGGCACATGCAGAGCTGGCCGAGAAACTGAGAGAAAAGGGATGGAAAAAAGAATACTCATTTTTGTCCAGTGTTTTTCTTTTTAAGATGAACTTTTAAAGAACCTTGCAATTTGCACATCTTGAGTTGATAATTTGTGTGATATTCCTGCAGTTTTTATCCAATAACATTGTGGGAAAGGTTTGGGGGACTGAACGAGCATAAATAAATGTAGCAAAATTACTTTCTAACCTGCCTAAACTCTAGGCCATTTTATAAGGTTATGTTCCTTTCAGAATTCATTTTGGTCTTTCTACCACATCTGTCACAAAAAAAAGAAAAACAAAAAAAAAAAAACAAAAAAACAAAACAAAAAAACAAAAAAAAAACAAAAAAAACAAGTCTTAGCAGGACAACTCTGAGAATTTTCTTCAGACTCATTGAGAAAGTTTTCCATAAAGACATTTATATATGTGAGCAAGTTTTTTTTTAAAAAACAATTACTTTATTATTGTTGATATTAATGTTATTTTCAGAATGACTTTTTTTTTTCATCTGAAATCGAGATTTTAATGTTTGGTACAAACCCAGAAAGGGTATTTCACAGTTTAAACCTTTCATCCCCAGAGACCTGAAATATTGTTTGTGGGTTTTGAGTGTGTGTTTTAAAAAATAATAATAAAGTTTTATAAATAGGGAGAAATTTTTAAATATTCTTACTTGGAATGGCTGCAACTTATCTGAACAAATAATCGGATTTTTCTTTTACCACTGAAAGTAGTACTTGCATTTCATAAATTTGAAAAAAAAATTCTAATGTCAACCCACATTTTGGCTATCGAGTATTCCGTTATATTTATGTCTCACCAGAACTAATGATATTTATAAACCGTTTTCTGGGGTGTACCAAAAACATTTGAATAGGTTTAGAATAGCTATAACTGGTCCTTGACTTTCTGTGGATTTCATTACCCTCTCAGCATGCTAGCAGAGAGCTAGGTGAGCCCATTCTTGCGGTCATACTGCTTACTTAGTGCTGTTTTGGTTTTTTTTTTTTTTTTAAAACGTTTCTGCTCAGAGAACTTGCTTAATCTTCCATATATTCTGCTCAGGGCACTTGCAATTATTAGGTTTTGTTTTTCTTTTTGTTTTGTAACCTTTGATGGTAAGAGGAATACGGGGCTGCCATTTAGACTTTGTCCTCATTAGTACCACTATTTACGGAAACTCACGTGGACGCAGAAACACACACACACACCACCTTTCGGCTTAACTTCCAGTATTGAACTAACTGGATCCTCAACACCAACACTAAAGTGGGAAAACATACATGGTTTGGAGCAATAGGAACACCACCATAATTTTTTGTGCTTCTATTTCAGGTATAGGAATTATAAAATAATTGGTTCTTTCCAAACAGTGTCCCATTTCATTCTCTTGCTTGTTTAGCGTGTGCAATACTTCCCGTGCCAATAGGTCCAACCAATGTGCTCTAATAGTTAAAGCTCATTCCCCCGTTGGGCCCGTCTTCCCTGTTCTGGCCAGAGAAGGGCTGGAGGGGAGGAACCAGGAAGGGGAGAGCCTCCCACACCAAGCTCCCCACCCCGGGGCTGAGTGCTGGGGCAGGGGGTGGGGGGTGCATCTCGGGAGCCCCATGTGTCTGTCACCATGTTGCAGAAAGAGCCAGTGAAGGAGAGCTAGGGGACCAGCTGCAGTCCCCCTGTCACCACGAGGAATAGTGAATGTGGAGAGGTAGTAGGTGGATTCTTTTCTAAGGTGGACCCTGGAGCACGGAGAGCCAAGGTTGACCCATTCATTCTCCAGGGTGTTTTCCAGAGTGGCCGGGCTCCTCCTCAGGTCTGTGTCTGAGCTGTGCCTCTGAGCACAGGCAGGAAGTGTGGCCCGCTGTGTGAGTGCACGCCCTGAGCACGCGGCCAGTGGCCACAGAGGGGCCACCTGAGAACAGTGGTCACCACTCCTTTGTGGCAGCTTTCTCTTCAAATAGGAAGAACATCCAAAGGACAGGGAAATCTCGTCTTGTTGGCAGACATTGGCGAGCCCAGTACTCCCAGAGCAGCCTTTTCCACCGCTCCCGTGTAGCAAACATAACAACGACAGGCGTAGACATTCTTCGGTGCCGTGCAGCTTACGAGGATCAGCCATGTGCCTCTGTACTGTGTCCACTTTGCAATATTTACTGACAACCATCTTTAGTTCTTCTTTCTTTCCCATTTTCCATTCCTAAACTACTAACAGCAGGCCTTTTGCGTTTACAATGGAACACAATCACCAGGAAATCAGTCAGGGCGAAAAGAAAAAAAAAAAAAGAAACCAACAAACAAGAACCTCTCTTTATAGGGATTTCTAAATACATAAAATGACTGTTCCTTAGAATGTTTAACTTAAGAATTACTTCAAGTATTTTTGGGCCACATCGGGGAGGGGGGTGGGACATATGGAGATGGATGCCACTTACCTCAAACCTTGTAAAGTGGAAATCCAAATTGCATTTTCGTTTGGACTTTCAGGATAATCTTCTATGTCAGTCAATTTTTTTTGTTCTCCCCGACTCACCCAGTTTGGTATGGGAGGATCTGATTTTTTTTCCGCGGCCGTTGATCCCATTGCTAACTCTGAATTGTGACCCTCCGTGTTTTCTGTTAGGTGCGTGTGTCGGGTTTTTCCCCCCCACCAGGAAGGGGCAGCATCCCTCTTCTCCCCTACAAGGAACTCTGCGAAACCTTTCTCACCTCTTACTCAGGGACGGGGCTGGCGTGTGTGTGGTACACTGATGTGTCCAGAAGCAGCACTTTGCCTGCTCTGGAGTAGGGTTGTACAACTTTGAAGAATGTTTGGATTTCCTGCATCTTGTGGATTACTCCTTAGATACTGCATACATTGCAATATAATGCTGCATGTTCGAGATGAACAGTAGCTCCTAGTAATCATAAAATTCACTCTTTGCACATAGTTTGATCTTTACTGAAATGTGTTGCCAAAATTTATTTTTGTTGTTGTAGCTTTGGAATTTTTTTCGTTTGTTTTTTAAGGAAACAATTGAGAATACCCTTTAACATCTGTGACTACTAAGGAAACCTATTTCTTTCATAGAGAAAAAAAGAAAAAAAATCTCAAAATGCTTTTGAAGACACTAATGCCATGCTATTTCAGATGTGAGAGAAGCAGCAGAGCTCTTGGGACGGGAGGCCAGGCTTTGTGAGCTGTGCTGGTTGTCATGGCTACTGTTTCCTGAACCGCAAGCAGCTCAACAAACTGGTCTGTTCTCTCCCATAAGGCTTTGCACTTCTGTTTCCTCGTCACCCACGATGATTCCAGGTGAAAGACGGGCCAGCAGTGTCCGTGGCCCAATCCAGCGCCTTCGGTGGGGGTATAAAAGGAAAGGAAGTTATGCTTTTTTATTTTTTAAAGTGGAGTGGAAGCCTTTGCTTCCACCTTTGTGTTTTTAACCCAGAATTTCTGAAATAGAGAATTTAGGAACACATCAAGTAATAAATATACAGAAAATATACTTTTTTATAAAGCACATAAGTGCGTATGCTATTGTGTTGGGTTGGTTTCCTCTTTTTTCCACGGACAGTGTTGTGTTTCTGTTGATAGGGAAACTCCAAAGAATTTGCACACCTCCACTCCGGAGCTGAGATTTCTTTTACATAGATGACCTCGCTTCAAATATGTTACCTTACGGGATAGGATCTTTTCTTGTAGCACTATACCTTGTGGGAACTTTCTTTCTCTCTCTCTCTCTCTCTCTCTTTTTTTTTAACGTACACCTAATTTGAGAAGCTGAAGAAGAAAAAATTTTGAAGCACTCACTTTGAGGAGTACAGGTAATGTTCTCAAAAATTGCACAAAAGAAAAATGAATGTCGAGATGATTCATTCAGT